AAAAAAAAAAAAAAAAAAAAAAAAAAAAAAAAAAAAAAAAAAACGTTTTAGTTAGTTTATGACTATTATACTTTATTTTGAATTAATACAAAGTATATCTTACTAAGTTTCAAATGTATAAAATATGTTATTAGTATTCCATAAAACAATCCGTGCATGGATTCATGCATGTGTCATAAAAAGACTAAAAATAACACTATAATACACGAAAACCGCCGTTAATCCTAAAATGAGAAAAGTGTAAATATAACGTGTGTATACTTGATTTTATGACTTCAAGTCAGTTTATGCACTAGAATACTTGGTTTTGTCGGTTTTTTGGTTTTGGTTTTATTTAACCGTAGCTTTTTTAAACATTTTATATAAGTTTATTGGTTAAAGATGGACAATATGATTTAATGTGTTCAATTAAAAAAGTTAGTTTACTTCACAAATTTATTGACCAATGGAGAAGTCATTTATAAAACTTTTAATTGTTGGTTGTAATGATATTTTAAGAATTTTATATAAATTTATTGGTAAAATATGTACAGAAACAAATAATAACTAAATATATACAATCGAAAACATTATATATATTTCCTTTCAATGTGCTTCGTTAAATTGTAAATCGATAAAATTTGTACATTGAGATGGCGTTTAGGGGTGTAAACTATTAAGTTGAGGATGTGAGGAACTAAGAATGGAGTTACGTTAAAGTTGAGGACCAAATCTACCAACATAAAAAATGAGACCATGCAGCAAGAACAAACCCAGATGGAACCCAAAAATTCTAGAGGTTAAAGACGAATCACCGGATATGATGAATCATATGAAGTCCTGGATGGTCGAATCCTTTTCTGAGGGTCAACTCTACCTCACGATGCCTTTCAATTCTCTTCTAATTTGGTAAAATTAGATCATTTATATTATACATATCGTCGATTCTCGTAGAAATTGTGCGGTTGAATCCCCTTGAAGGGGAATCTAAAATTTCCAAAATAAATTTTCACAGATGTGGATTTATGGATGATTGATTATGCTGCGATTGCGATTAGCGTATACATTCAAAGATTAACTCGACGAACCTCGGTTTTAGCCAAGAAGGAAACATGGGTGGAAAATTATTGGAACTCGATGGATCATCAATCAAGTTCATATGTAAGGAGATTTCGTTTTCAATATGCAATGAAAAAAACGACGTGTTTGTTTACAATTTTGTTCGCAAATGTCTTCATTTAGTGCATCGCTTGTTCCGCAATTAGAGACCACTTAAACAAGGATTTTTTTCCCAAATTAGTTAGGCGTGCTAAGCATTGATCAAGCATAAAGAGGTGAATCACTAGAGTTTTGGGGTATCAATGATTTTCTTCAATGGAATCCTAGGTTAGAAAGGAGATCTTCCTAAATCACCCAAATTGGTTGTGTGAGACTCATGTATATTCTAAATGAAATGCTTAGAACGAGCACAATAACATGTTACTACAAAATGGATTTTTCTTAATTTTGACTACTATAACAAATACCTACATGATACCTTTCAAAGCTTCTAGTAATTCTACCTACACGACATTGAGAATTTGAGATCTCTTCTTGTTTTCATTGACTTTTGCATGTGATTGCTCATTTTTTGTGTAATATCTATCAAACCTCAATGTTTTCAATGTTTAGTGACAAAAAAAAAAGTTTACTTATATACTTAACTGTCATAGTGATTTATCGTGGTTAATTAACATCTTAGAGTGAAGAATGAACTTATTAATCTATACCTTTTTTGAGCAAAAAAAGTTGTTTCCTTGGGGCTTAGTGAGTATGCATTATAGTTAAGTTTGTATTTAATTAATTAGTAGAATTAATAGGGGATTTGGGATTCTAGTATTTGAGGTTAATACTGTAGATTTGTGTATTTATGATCCTGTTCTAAATGTTTGTTTCTTTTGTTTGATTATATACTTTAAGTAAGCCCAGACATATAGATTACTGTCTCTAATTTATAAATTGGTGTAATCTTTTGTCACTATATATAACACAAAGCTATCATCATGATTGCTTTGTTTTATTAACTTCTCCATGAGTCTATATTTTCTATTCACTTATTTGATTTCCCCAAATAAATATTCCTCGTTGTCTTTTCAGGTGAAATCAAGAAACAAAGTACCTCTTCAGTTCACATCTCCAACATATCTGATGAGTATGTTGCTTTTAAGGTAATTCATTCTCGCTTAATGTATCCATAAAATTAAATTAAATTCTCCTTTAATCTATATTTTGGTCACATATAGAACATTTTCATTTGGCAGGTGAAGACCACATCACCAAAAAGATTTTGTGTAAGACCCAATTCAGGCATCATTAGCCCAAAGTCAGAATGCAGTTTCACAGGTATGTGTGGACTCTAAAGTCTAATCCCTTTTGCTTTCAAAAAGTGATAAAATATTATCCTTTTATTGTTGTTATGCAGTTACTATGCAAGGTCTAAGATCACATCCATCTGAAGTGGAGTGCAAGGATAAATTCCTGATTCAAAGCACAGCTGTCGATTCTGGGACAAAAGAAGAAGATATCACTGTTGACTTAGTAAGTATTGTGTCCTTTACTCAAATTTTTATTGTTATTGCTCTCATTGTTGTATTTGGTAGTTCTCCAAAAGCAGTGGTAAGTATGTTGAAGAGAAGAAGCTTAGGGTTGTTCTAGTTAGCAAGCAAGATTTACCAGTAGAAGAACACAAAGATAAAGAGTTGGAGAAAGAACATGCTAATGAAGAAGATTCACTTAAAGAACATAAACACAAAGTGTTGGAGAAAGAACATTCTAATGAAGAAGATTCACATAAAGAACATAAACACAAAGTGTTGGATAAAGAACTACCTCATGAAGCTTCACATACAGAACATAAACACAAAGTGTTGGAGAAAGAACCTTCTAATGAAGCTTCACATAAAGAACAAAAACACAAAGTGTTAGAAAAAGAACCACCAAATGAAGCTTCATCAAAAGAACACAAACATAGAGTGTTGGAGAAAGAACCTTCCAATGAAGAGCACAAACACGAAGTGTTGGAGAAAGAACCATCTAATGAAGCTTCACATAAAAAAGAACACAAACACAAAGTGTTGGAAAAAGAACCTTCTAATGAAGCTTCATTAAAAGAACACAAACATAAAGTGTTGGAGAAAGAACCTTCTAATGAAGAGCACAAACACAAAGTGTTGGAGAAAGAACCTTTTAATGAAGCTTCACATGAAACACACAAACCCAAATTGTTGGAGAAAGAACCTTCTAATGAAGTTTCACATGAACACAAACACGAAGTGTTGGACAATAAACCTTCTAACGAATCTTCAATTAAAGAAGATATTTTGGTGAAAAGAGACAAAAATGTTTTCTCAGTGGATAAGGTGACTGATACATAGTTTCTCTTCATGGGACTTGAGTATTGTTATTATTTTTCTGTATGATGAATTTACAATTTTCAATAATGCTTTGTGTATTGCCTTCTTTTTAAGTTTTTAGTACCACGCATATGTTTTATAAAATTCAACTTCTCTTCTTGCAGCAAATTAAAGATGCTAAGGAAGTCAAAAGTGGTTTGACCATAGAGGAGTCAAAGTTATCTGATGATCCTAATGGGAATAATGTCCCCAAGAATTCGAAGTTTAAGCCTGTAAAGATTGTGAAGGAGGATCCAGAAACAAGGTTGAGATTGTCTAATCAACTCAAGGAGTTGAAACTGAAGGAAAGTGCATTAGAAAATCAACTCAAAGAGGTTAGTCATGATGTTGTTAATATTTAATTTTTATGTAGGTTTGCAATTAATGGAGGACATTTTAGTAATTTATTCTGATTACGGATATTTTTGTAGGTCAAATCCACCATCTCTAGCCTAACCTATCAGAACAGTATAATCATTGAAGCTAAAGAGACCCTTCAGTTGGAATTGGTAAGGACATTTTAGTCATTTATTATGATTACAAATCTATTAATAACCATTTTTTGTAGGTTTACCAATAATAGATGACATTTTAGTCATTTACTTGTTTTTTGCAGGATAGGAAAAGTAAGAAAGGTTTCTCCTTTGTGTTTGTTTGTGGGGTGTCACTCATTGGTTTGATAGGCGGATACTTCTCGGATCCTTAAATGACACATTCATAAATTTTCTCCATTTTGTTTGGAAAATTGGATGTTTGCATTTCTTAACTTGTACTTTGTAATTCGAAAGGACCGGTAAATATATATACTATTTCTTGTTTGCTTGTGTAAATCTTTGGAACTTTCCATTATTTATAATAGTTGTGCTTGTAAATAAGTGACATTTATTAAAGTAAAAAGTTTTTTTTTTAATCTGAATATGTTCTAGATATGTGGTTATTCATAAACAATTTTTATTTTTCAAAACACATGGAATGGATGCAAAACACGACATTATCTATTGGTTATGTCATCGCCATGAGAAGATCAAAGGCAAATGGAAATGGTTTGTTGTCTTACATCACATTAATTTGTGACCACGACGGTGAATGCAAATTTAAAGAAGCAAAATAGAAAAATTAGCACCAAAAAAGCCAATTTTAAATTTCAATTCATAGATTCATATATAAAACAATATGATGGTTGGAGGTGAGGGTGATATGTGGTCAGCATAATTATCCATGTACACAATGCATCGAGGGCCATGTTGATGCCATGTGGTTGAAAGGAAACGAACACTCAAAAAAAAAAAAAAAAAAAAACGTTTAAGGAATCTGTAAATCACCCAACTTTACCAGAGATATACTGATTCAAGTGGCCATTCATGAAAAAAGAATAGATTCAAACAGTTTAATTCAAACAAAACTGAATACGCAGATTAAGGAACAAATTGAAATTTCAATTCGACAAAATCAAATACACATAGTCAACTGTAAAACAAAAACCGGAAAATACGAAATCATTGATTCCATAGTCAATTGTAATGCGTAATTAACCGATGAAAAATACGAAATCATTGATTCCAAATGCTTTCTCGATGATTCTTCGCATAAAAATTGAGTTTCCTTGCGGTCAAAGTCGAGATGCAACAATAATGAACTAATGGGGTTATTTAAAGGCTCAAATCCGACTTTATGGTCGCACTCAACCAAGTCAAATTATGTAGGAAAATCCACTCAACGAAGTGAAATATTGTGTCAACTTTTCTTGATTTCTTGCACGGCTCGCTCGAGTGGAGGTCAAAGGTCATGCCCAATCAGACATTGTTACATTTTGTTTGGCCATCTTCTTCAGAAATTTTGACATTTTCATCATTGCTATGATCTTCACGTATGAGGGTGTGCTAGACCATAATTGTAGCTAGATTACACTTTATCACTAACCCTTTTGTTAGCCATGAGTTATAGCAGCTCTCGTGTACACTCAATACACATCAACCAAATCAATTAGAAGCACACAAACGATTCATCTCATTATGTCTCATTATAAGGTCGATGGGAAAATGTCAACCAACAAAAAAAAAAAAGTCGGGGTTAGACCATTAATCGACTACAATTTCCCATTTGTCATTGTCAATTTTAACATTATACCACTACCAACAAAATAAGAGTTTCGGTTTTAGAATTGATTGCATTTGGATCCATTTTTTCCTATCATTAATGGGTCAAGTTGTAACATTATAAATGAAGAGTTCTTAACAAGACATGCATCTAACATGCTAAACCAACCAATTGAGTCTTTTTAATCATCTTGATAGGTTACTTATCAAATCTTGTCACCTTTCGCAAGACAATGGAAGAACAACATTGATCCCAAAAGGTTTCAGCTTTCGCCATCACTTTGATCAGGGAAAGTAACACATTTGAAAACTTTGCACTTGGAACACAACACATACCCAACCTGTCAAACAGGTTACACCACTCACTCAGAAACCATTTTATAACTACAAACTGTTTGATCAAAAAAAAAAAAAAAACATTACTTACAGCTCTACAAGATGGACATCTACGATAGATACGATTGTTTTCAGATTTCACATTAGTCTTTTGCCCTTTACAAAAATCACAAATCAACCATCCTCTCCCATCACAAGGTTCACATTCAATGCCCCCATCAATCTTTATACCCTTAAAATATTCAAAAAACGAATCTTGATTCAAGACTCAAGGGTGGATAATCGATCAACCATAGATTATCAAGAACATAACACATCAAAATGTCAAAATTTTGATACTTTAGACAGAAGAAATCATGTGATATGGAGAAAATTGAAATCAAACATGTGGGTATATGAAATACCATCGAAATCCATACATTTATGTATGTAAATATATATACCTGTTGTTGAAGAGAAGTGCAATGGATGGGCTTTGAAAACCTGTTCGAATTCAAAGAAATCAGAGGCATCAATGGCAGCTTGGTTACACCCAAAAACGCCATTTTTGTTGCTTCTTCCTCCTTTGAGGATAAAGATTTTAAAGGGTGAAAATGGAGAACACCCACCACCCACCAAAGCCAAAAATTCAACCTTATAGTTGCGAACAAATTACGCAAGTGCCACCATCCTTTTTCATTGCTTTTTATAAATGTAAATTTACTTCATTACTAGTGTCACTTTCGGAAATAAATGAAGAATGACCACTGGTAAAGTCATATTCATCTTCATCGCCGTCGCTTCGTCACGCCTCTTCATCGTTTTCTCCCTCCGGTTACTTTCCGGTGATCATTACTGTGACCTTACGCGCCTACCGTCCCCACAAGCTCTCCGATCAGATCAATTCACGGTGTTGATTAACGGCTACTCGGAATCACGCATTCCGATCCTGCGGACAGTCACCGGAGTGTATTCAAGTTCTCCGTCTGTAGCTGCCGTGGTTGTGTTATGGGGAAACCCTACAACGCCCGCAAAAACCCTAGTGGAACTCTCACATAACCTCTCGATCTCGTCTCCTGGAGACGCGCCGATCTCAGTTATCCGACAACCGTCGTCTAGTCTCAACGCCCGGTTCCTTCCCCGCCCATGGATTTCAACACGCGCCGTCCTAATCTGCGACGACGACATCGAGGTCGACCCAAAATCGATCCAATTCGCTTTTGAGATCTGGAGGAGTCGCTCGAACAATCCAGAACAACTCGTGGGGCTGTTCGCCAGATCTCACGAGCTAGACCTCACCAGCCGTACATGGATTTACACCGTCCACCCCAATCGCTACTCGATCTTACTCACAAAGTTCATGTTAATGAAAACGGAGTATTTATACGAGTACAGCTGCGAAGGAGGTGAATCAATGGCGCAGGCGAGATCAATCGTGGATGAGATGAGGAATTGCGAAGACATACTGATGAATTTCGTTGCAGCAAACAAGACGGGTATGGGACCGGTTCTTGTCGGGGCTAAAAGGGTGAGGGATTGGGGGGACGCCAGGAACGAAGGTGTAAGGCGGCGGGGGCGGGGATTGAGAGCGGCGGGAGAGGAGGTGGCGGTGGGGTTGAGTAGTAGGAAAAAGGGTCATAGAAGAAGGAGAGGAGATTGTATAAAAGAGTTTCATAGGGTTTTGGGGAAGATGCCATTGACGTACAGCTATGGAAAGATGGTTGATTCGATTGGAGAACAAGGGCTTTGTGAGAAAGGTGGGAAATTGGTGTTTTGTGATCGACAAACAGTTTTCTAAATGCATTAATGGTTATCCTTCATGCTGTTTCTGTAACTTAATTCTTTTCTACAGTAGCATTGATCATCACTGCATCCTTGTATGCAATATGAATGAAAATTGCATAGCATGACACAGTTGCATACTTGCATTACCTCATATGATTTGTCAGGGAGAAAATATAAATTTGGGCTATTCTTCTAAAAAAAATTCAAAAAATTATGAATTATGAAATAACCTATATAACCCTCAAAATTACGATTTTCTGGCCATTTACGATTTTCTTTCATCAAAATGAGATTGTAAAAGTATCTAATACTTAACGTTATATATTCAACACTAGTGCAATTTTATTTGTCTAAAAGTGATGATAATTTTTTTACACCTTAAATACTATGGGTTCATGGATTCAGCCTACGATAAAATAACATTCAGCCTATGATAAAATAGCAGTCCATAAGTGAAATTGCATCCCAATAGATGCGATTTCAATGACCTTTTTACCACATAAGACCGGAAGGTGTTGGTGAGAAATTTCTCTTATTTTTTGTGGGCAACAATACTATTTCCCTTGTTTTCCTTTCTCTCGTCTAAACCCAAGGATTCAGTGGGAAGCTTCCCTCATTATTTGTTTTTTTATTTTTTTAAATAAAATTAATTCTTTTTATGATTTATAATTTTTAAATTAATAATAAACATAAAATTTAATTAAAAATAGAAAGCATTTCATTAATTAAAATAAAAATTACATTAAACCTAATATTTAAATGAGCATAAAGTAAAAAAAAAAAAAAAAATACAAACACAAACAAAAAATAAACAAACCACAACATAGAAAACATAATTAATATCCTAATTTAAAAAAAACCAAAACACGTCACTCGGAATCATCGTCTTCATCATTCTCCTGAACGTCACTCTCGTCATCGGAATCTTCGCTATCGACGAACATATAAGAATCCTCGTCTGATTCGTCAAACAAATCATCGTGACAATACTCTATCGGCGGCTGAATATGAGCTCTATAAAAGTGTTCCACCAAATCAACATGAAGGGCGTGATAAATGTCGCGAATGTGTACTTCTCTTCTATTTGCCCTATACTCTTGTGTATGTAACATCCGGATGTCCAGGTATGCTATAAAGTTCATTTATCTTGAGTTTTATGGAGGGACTCGGCGAGTAGGCGCTCAGACTCGTCGAGTAGGAGCGCGCATTTCTTGTCTGATTTAATGAAGGACTCGACGAGTCGATGCGTGGACTCGGCGAGTCCGCGCTGTAAAGTGAAACCCTAATTCTCGGGGTCTGTGCCCTATTTAAAGGCCTTTATAGCCTCCATTTGCGGCCGATGCACCCCTGAGAAACCCTAGAGAGCAGAGAGAAAGCTTGTAGTGCAAAAGGAGGGCTAATTCATCATTCTAAGTGTCATTTTGCAAGAAAGAAGGAAGGAGGACAAACAAGGAAGGTTGAGGAGCTCAGATCTATCACCCATTTGATCAGAAGAGGCTGCTAGAG